GGGGGTTCAATAACATTGAGAACTTTGTACAGATAATGAATCTACACGTTCTCTAACGAGGCTCAACAGGTTTCATCACCTGGTGAAGTACATGGTGGCATCAGCCTCAGACTCATGAGGCCTCAGAGCGTCGAACACGTACTTCAGATCCTCCAGGTCAGAGAGCTCTGGGATCCCACAGGACAACATCTGTTCACACACACACACACACACACACGTTACAGGATCAGCTGAAGGGTCCTCACAATGACACAGACACCAGCAGGTGTGTACCCACCAGGCCCAGCAGGTTGAGGAACAGGTGTGTGTGTTTCCTGATCACGTTGTACGCCTCACAGCACAGGTCCACGAAGTCATGGAAGCGACTGGACGGTTTGTCTCCACCGTTGATGACGTACGCCATGTCGGAGGTGAAGACGAAGGGGGCGCGGTCTCTGCACAAGTCACACATGACCACATCATCACCTCATCCAGACCAAAGGGACTTTATCCAGAACAATGTCTGTCTCTCACCGTTTGATGTTTCCAAACATCTGCGCGTGTCCCAGGAACTTCCCGAAGTCGATGTGGAACATGTGACCGCTGGTCTTCAGCATGATGTTGTCATTGTGGCGGTCGCAGATTCCCAGGATGTAGGTGGCCACACAGCAGCCAGCACACGAGTAGATGAAGTTCTCCACGGCCTGGACACAGACGACAGGTGTGAAACCTTCAGAGCCAGGATCACCAGCGCAAACAGGAAGTAACAGTGCGCTGGTTTCCTGCTCAGTGTGCGGAGCGATGACGCCACACTGTCTCCTACCTTGTCGTACTGCTCGTCAGTGGGGTTGTGTTTCAGGAGCCAGTCGGCCAGAGGTCGGTCTTTGAAGGATCCAGTGACTCCATGTTCCACCTGGATCTTCCTCAGAGTGTCAGCATGAGGAATCATCTCCACCATACCTGAGGACACATTACAACACATCTGTCCTCTGAAGACTCACCTGTCCTCTGAAGACTCACCTGTCCTCTGAAGATACATCTGTCCTCTGAAGACTCACCTGTCCTCTAATGATTCACCTGTCCTCTGAAGACTCACCTGTCCTCTAAAGATACACCTGTCCTCTGAAGATACACCTGTCCTCTGAAGATACACCTGTCCTCTGAAGATACGCCTGTCCTCTGAAGAT